GTGGTTCGAATTTATATAAATATATTTATTCATAAGTTTATAGGACAGTAGTATCTTAACAACTCCCTTTAACACCTAGAAGGTATGCTTATATATAAAAGTCACTATATTCTAGTACATTCTGGGGTAGCCCACCTCTAATTTGCCTATTTGACGAGTTGATCTCTCTCACACTCGATACATTGCCGGAAACTTCTTGTCTCTTTTGAGATGCAACCGTTATAAGGGCCATGACGAATGCATGTTCGTAACACTATATTATAGCCTCAAAGAAGGGAAAAGAAGACAGAAATAAGTGGAAACAGCAAATCAAAAATGATATGGAAGGAACAGTGCTAAAAAGTTGAAAAGGAATATTAATAACAAAAAGGAGTGGAAAAAAATCACATAGCAAGTCATGGAAAAGCTCAGCACATAAGAAAAAGAAGAAAAGAAGGAACACATTCTTTAAGGCTTTGAGTGCTATTATAATATAAAAACTTGAAGCTGTAGATGGTGTTGCATAAAGCTCAAACATGAAATTTAAAGAAAAAAATATATGGATGCACAAAAACCTGGAAAGATACAGAGGTATCAGGATGGGATACTAAGAGGATAGATTAACTTGAAAATCAAGTCAAGTGCTCAATAATTTCAATATCACAAGCAAAATAAGTGAACAATACTAAAGGAGTAAAAATAAGTTTTAGTTAAGAAATGTATGAGAAACAACACAAAGGTATTAATAGAGGTAAATGACTATAGAAGAGATTTGAATAAACTTTTAATGTGCAAAATTATCTGTTGACAATATTTGTTTGAAATTATTCCTATACAATGTTTTAAACACATATCAAGATTTTGTCTTAAAACAATTTAAAAAAGCTTCAAAATGACATATTCTGAAAGTTATATTTTATCTGATAGTATTTACTTTAGAACAACCCTCTTCCCTGAGAACAATTCCCACATTTGTCCTTAATCTCTGCTTGTATTCTTTTAAGATATCTCATGGTGATAACCAGTGAGATTGACACATTTGAAGTAAAATTTAGGAAGTAGTAGCTTTCTATTTTTTTAAACCCATGCATTAATATCGAAACTTCTTCTATACAGGTAATTTTATGAACAATTATTTTGCCTTGAGATATAGGATTTTTCCAGTCACAGACAATGCTTTTTGGCTCTCCTTCGACCAGCTCTAGGCTGAAGAATTTTGTGGCTGATCCTCTTTTAGCAACAGAACTCATACCAGTGTGCCAAAACGAAACAGCTCACTGTCATATAACTACATTAATAGACAATAAGTGGGGACTTGAATAGAAAGCTTGTCTGTCTTACTCCTACATGGCCTGCTAAATCTCCAGTATGGTACAATAGAGAACAATGTTATCAGCCTGTCAAATATAATATACTATGCGGAAATACAGATGAAAATGGTTCAGAGTTCTTTGGAACAAATGGATAATCCCCTAAAATGAAGAAGATTATGGGATTGAGGATGCAGATACCTAACAGAAAATGTAAATCTCTTGAGAAAGATATGAATTGAAATACATAGTAGGATAATGATTAGAAATATAAAAAGATTATAGATAACAATTAGAGAGAGTAGCAGAATTTGTATATCTGGGCAGCATAATTGACTGTAATGGGGGTACAGAGCGTGATGTACATGAAAGAATAAATAAGGCTCGCAACGCCTACAACATGCTTAACAACATATGGAAATCCAGGATTTACCCAAATAAAACGAAATTAAAAATCTTCAACACAAATGTAAAAGCTGTATTACTGTATGGCTGCGAAACGTGGAAGATATCAGCACCCATAGTACACCAATTACAAGTTTTCATCAATAGAGCGTTACGAAAAATCCTTCGTATATTTTGGCCTAACCGAATCTCCAATGAAAATTTATGGAACCAAAGTAACCAAGAAAATGTCATAAAGCAAATAAGGCGAAGAAAATGGAGATGGCTGGGCCACACACTCCGTAGACCGCCAAATGACATTGCCAGGACAGCGCTGGATTGGAATCCCCAAGGCTGACGGAAAGTAGGCAGACCTAAGGGAACTTGGAGAAGGACAGTACTGGACGAAGGGAGAAAAATGGGAAAATCCTGGCTTGAAATCAAAGCACTAGCCAGAAATAGAGTTCGCTGGAGACAGTTTGTGGAAGCCCTATGTATATAGTCCCAAGATTCCTAAGAGGAACATAGGGCTTCCACAAAGTGTCTCCAGCGAACTCTATTTCTGGCTAGTGCTTTGATTTCAAGCCAGGATTTTCCCATTTTTCTCCCTTCGTCCATGTACTGTCCTTCTCCAAGTTCCTTTAGGTCTGCCTACTTTCCGTCGGCCTTGGGGATTCCAATCCATATAGATAACAATTGTATAATCTACATTTTTCTTCTGCTTAATACCAAGAATTGTTTTTGAATAGTATGCCCCTTAATATAAACAAAAAATCATTGTAATATTTTTGTTACAAGCTGACTTTTGATAAGCAAAAAGGTAAGATGTTCTGCCTTTTGTGTTAATTGGTCATAATCATACATATTATTTTATTTGTACATTTTTATTAAGTACGCATGTCTTGTATTTATATTGTTTCTGGACTATCTGGATCAGAAACATTACTTTTTGCCATGTAGCCTACCTACCTACATTACCCCATGTTATAATAATTATAGTATACTCCGTTTGAAAATTGATAGCAAAGTTTTTATGAGAAGTTTGTCAGTGTTATCATGTTACTTCTATAAATTCTTATACAAAAATAAGCTAAGAAGGAATCTATATTGATAATTTTTCGCTTTTGAGCAGCCCGGTATAAAGACCTAAAAACTGTGCTGTCATACATTTTCAAATCAATTATAGATATCGGTAATTTGACAGTTTTTTAGAAACTGCATTATAGTTTTTGTGGCTCATTTAGTTAAAGAAATTAGTAGCGACTTGTAACCACCCCATTCGACTTAGTTGAGATAAAATTATATACATTTTACAGATGGGCACCATGCAGTCCCTAAACACATCGACAGCCCCGTCTCTGGCGGGCTCTCGCCCAACGACCCCACACAGTACAGTTTCGACGATGCCTGTTTAGAAGAAATACCGCTGGACACCACGCCCGCTTATTGGCCGCAAAGGTCCAAACCGCCCGTCGTCTCTACGATATATTAAGCTATTATCTCATCTATGTTGATCTAAAATGTTTAAAAGTGGTGGCAAAATTTATTTTTTAAGCTTTAGTAATCGATGTATCGTTATTCGGGCACAGAATAAGAAATGATCAGAAAATTTATAGGTACGAGCAACTGATTCGCGCAGACAGCTTACGTCATTCTTTAGCCAGCTCTATAGCGTCGTGGTATAGTTGATTTTTATAATAAAACACTGACGTATCAATGGAGAATTCATTAATTTACCAAAAAGAATAATTTGACACATAATGTTACCTGTTTAACATATCAGGGATAAATATATTCACGTTAGTCATCTGTCTAATTCACTTTTGACATTGTATCTAGTAGTGTTTCGTCAGTTCCGTCGTTTATTAGCTGCATATAAGTTTATTATATCGATTTGAAGTAATGTTGAGTGTAGTTCAGTATTAACAAAAACAAAATTTAGAAGACACGTCATCAAAATTTACTAATTGAGGCGGTAGCTAAAAGAAGAGCCTATCTGCTAAAAGTGTATTTTGAGAAAGCATTAAAAGATTTAATGGAACAGATGGATTATATATTGCTCCCATACTTCCTTTATTTTGATCTCTTCAGAGAGTATTCCTCCATTATTATCTCTTGTTATGAGTGTTCTTTTTTGGTGTTGCCTGTAAGTTCTTTCATTTTTTTATGTAAGTTTGAGGTGTCATGTTTGTTGCTGAATTCTTTCAGTTCCTGGCATTCCTTGTTCATTCATTCCTCCTTAGCCCTTAGATTGTAATCAACA